CGCTAGGAAATACGACAGCAAGAGAAATGTAGACAAGTAAAATCTTCATTTATTCGTACCTTGAGAGGGAAAATAATTGACTGAACTCAGACTCCCACCTCTGTTGGGGCAAGTGATCCATATGTTCAAGCCTCATTTCTTGGTGCAAAGCAGCACGTGTCGGCCCCGCTGCTGGCACTGCCCTCCCACAGGCAGCCGCTCTCCGGGGCCCCAGTTTGCACTCAGCTTTTCCAGTGTAGGTGGCTGTAGCCTGGCACGGTGCTTAGAGACATCTGAGTAAAGGTTTAGCTCTTGAAATGGGCCCTGAGACTGCTGTGCACAGTCTGGCTGGAGCAGCAAAGGGGGCTGAGCACCCCTGGAAATAAATCCTGCCACCCAGTTACATAGTAAGGCTTTTAGGGCATAAGGAGAGGAATCTACATTTGTGGATTTGCTCAGTGTTTATATGACTGAACACCCATTACAGACTGTGAGAGTTTTCCATTAATTTTAGCTGAAGTGGATTCTGTCTGGTCTTTGCTTTTGGTTCTTTCCTTCACTTAACTCTTATTTTGCTGTCATTTCTCCATTTCCTGCATTGTAGTTTAGGTCAAAAATGGTGACTAAGTGCCTAATTTCAATCATGGATTCCTAAATTCTTGTTTAAGTATCAATCTAAACTGTGAATTTTTTGTCTTCTTTCTGAAGAAGTCTAAAAATAAAGAGCTCCTGATATCTATAACCACAAAGCCACTGCCACTGGCCTCATCACATCTCTTCACCTAAAAGGCGGCTCATCTGTAAAGTAAACATCCTGATGCACAGATAAGGCACGATAGGTAGAATTAGCTCCATTTGAAATATATTTCAGATGTAAACGACAAGAGGTATTGGTGCTTCTAGCCATGGCAAAGTGACTGAAGATGTGGTCAATAAATTGTGTTGCTGTTACTGCACAGCAGCTTTCAGCTTTCACCTGGGCTCACCGGGCGTGGGCTGAGCAAAGCCAGCTCCATCTAGGACATTCAAGACCATCCCAAGTACAAAAAGGGCAAAGTCTTTATTTGGAGAGACTGAAGTGTGTAGATACAGCTGGGGAGGGGACAAGGTCCTGGGCTAAATGCCGGTTCTGACTGACACCCTTCCAGTCCATCTTGGCTCCCATCAGCTGCAGGGAGAAGTCCTGGACTCCAGGAGAAAAGCTCTGCGCTTCACTGTGTGTGGTGTGTAGCTGAGTAGATAAGCATCCAGGTTATTAATATGCTGATTAACTTTGTGCAGGAGTGAGATTTCCATGAGATCTTTCATCCCCTGATCCAGCATTTGTCTTCTCTCTGGTCCTGACACTGCAGTGAGGGATAGAGGACCAGGCACAGAACCAGCCACTGCCACCATCCCAGCTCCTAAGTACAAACTTTTCACTCACAAATGCAATAAAACTTGCTACTTTTCCTTTGGCTATCTTAATGGTTGGTTTTCCCCTGACTATCTCGGTTTGTGGCTTCATGCCTCAGTTTGCCTTCAGGAATATCAAAATACTTTCACTTTTTTTAAAATTCTTTCCTTCCCCAGTAACAGACCATGTGTGTTTCCCTAGAGGAGCCTTCTCTCCCAGAGCTATCACCTGAAAACATATTTATGGCAAAAAGACGAGATCCATTGTCGAGTTCCCTCCATTCAGACATCACTTAGCCAGACGGCTGAGCCAATTCCACTGATTTTACTGGGCTTTACACACATATCTGGAATTAACTTGCCGCAGAAGAGGTGCCCTGAGCTGGGCTAGAAAACCACTGGGATTGCACTTGGGAAAACAGCAAAGAAATATTTTGATTATTTCCATTTCTCAACCGCTTTTCCTCCAGCCTGCAGAAACTTCCTGCTCCCCCCTGTCCCTCTCCAGCAGATAAAGGGACACATTTGTTGTCGAGATCATTGTGGCACCCTCAGCAAGCCGAGGTTGTCATGGGACTCCCCGCACAAACAGAGCAGGTTTTCAAGGATAGCACACAGCACAAATGAGCGCTCTTGTTGTGTCAGCAATAGTCTGTGTGTTTATAAGGACCCTCGAAGGTGTTTTTGGAGATACTCGGGCGGGTGTTTTTAGCTGTGCGAGCCCGTTCAGCCGCACCGATACCGCTCCCCCTTCGCCCAGGTATCCCCGAACTCCCACCCGGGGATGCTCCCGCAGGAGCAGAGCCCCGAGCAGAGCACGGCCCCGTGTTGTTCAGGCTGCACTGACATCTGTTGGCTCTTATCAAGGCGGCTAGGAAAAAACAAGGCGGTTTCACGCCGTGAGATAGCGGCTGCGGCAGGAGCGGGGGCCGGGGCGATGCGATAGCAGCATCCCACCGCGGAGATCAGGGACCGGCTCAGGGCTGGCAGAGACCGCGTTCCCTGCCAAACAGGCAATTCCCAGCCATCGTCCTTCCACTCCCGTGCCTTCCTCCTGTCCTGAAGGAGCACGGCTTGCCTTTCCGAAGGAGGAGGTTGAAGCCAGCCCGTGTTGCTTCACTGCGAGAGCGCTCCTCGGTCCGTGTGACTAAATAAAGAGTTAGGACATGAACACTCATTTCTGAATCAGTGTCTGAAAACATCACACGACCTTTTGGGAAAAGCAAGTGAGCCGCGAGGAAAAGCGTTTGGGTTGAAGTAGCAAACGCTTACTCAGATGTACAATTTGGATAACATAACAGCATGTTTAGTGTAATGATCGGAGGACAACTGCATGTCCTGGAGCTCAGCCAGCATCCTGCTCTGGTTAAAAGCTCCGTGCTGCAAACCCTGTCTCGTGTGTCAGCGCTCTTATTCACGGAATTAACACGAGGCTGAACTGAAGTGGGTGATGGGGCTACACGCTGCTCTGTCAGCCTTAGGGATGGAGCAATTACAAACCTCTGGTTTGAGTGACTAAAACCTCAAGTGTGGCAAGTCCCAAGCCTGACTCTGCAGCCCAGGGGGTTTTCTGAGAAAAACTGCAAGCGTGCCCAGCTGATTTGGGCACTGACTGTCCCCAAAGCCCTTTGTGAGCAAGAGAAAAGGCAAACAAGTTGCAGGGAGGTACCGCGGCCATGGGAGGATGTCATATGGAAGAGGACTTCTAGAACAGCGTGGACTGGAAGCTTGAGAGAAATGGAGACTACCATCAATTTTGTCTTTGAGTAGAAACAATCCCAGAAATCCTTGTCCCTGCTATTCCTCACAAATACTTGTTATATGATTGGGTCAACAGCATTTAATTTTGGCCACACTGTATAATCTCATTTTTTAATGTCAAATTTGCCCTTTGATTTTAAAGACAGCTTGTGCTGTTCAGGTTCTGAAATAATTTCAAACAGAATTAGCTTATTTTACAGCTTTATAAATCTCTCCTAGTTGGCTCCAGTGTAAGTAGGTTGTTAAATTCTACCAGCAGAGATTTCATCATTTCTCTGAGCACTGCAGTTTAATATTTGCCATTGAAGCACTGGGTCAGGCTGACTTTGCCTGCTAGTCTTCACTGTTCTCATGCAGCTTTAAAGGAGAAAATGTCAGAGAAACAAGGGATCTACTTTCTTGGTAAAAAAAAAAAAACCCACAGAACATGAAAGCACCTCTGGCTGCGCAGGACAGGGGATGTGGGAAGGCTGGTGTCCCCACTGCCAGCAAGCCCTGGAGCAGCCTGGCAGCTCTGCCACTGAGCCTCTGTGCCAGCACACTCCAGAGCCAAGGGACACTCGGAGCTGCCAGGACCAGGCTGAGCAAACTCAGGCTCTCAGGAAGGTACTGCAGTGACATTCCCCGGGAAGCAGCAGCCCTGCAGAGCGGTCAGAGATCCCACTCACACATTCTCTGTATTTTTTTCATGTTGCCTGACAGCTGCCTGTCATTAGGACTGCAGGAAATAGAGGCATCGATGCACTGTAGCTGCAGTTGAAGTCATAATTCTGATTATTTGTGAGCTGCTTCCCGGGCAGGATCCCATCAGTGGCTGGGAGGGGAGCAGGGGAGGTGCCCCCAGAGCAGCTGGATCTGCCCTGTGTCACCCCCTGCCACTCTGGGGACAGCTCCTGCCGGGTCACTCCAGCAGCCAAGCAGCAGGTTTTGTCTATTCCTTGCTTGCAGCGGTGCAGTTTACACCCCCAGTTAATGCAATCGGCAACTCCAGCGGCGCGTTTCCTCAGGAGCAGCGACACGGACATGGCTGTGAGAGGAGCCCAGCCGGCAGCAGGAGATGCCCCAAGGCCACCCTTGCCCTGCACGAAGCTGTGCCCGGTGCCGAGAGCCGGAGTCCTCTAGATGTCACCAGTCATCACTAGATGCCGCGGGCTGGCCGCGCCTCTCCCGGGTACCACCGACCCCCGAGCTCCGCCGGGAACAAGGCACAGCTCTGCTCGGAGATGGCCAGCTTCAGTGCCGCCTGTGAGCTGCTAATGAGCCCCCGGAGTATTAACACCAGCCTCATTATAAGCTAAAAAAAGAACGACACTGCTTCATTTCCTTCTCACCGTTTTGGCTGTTGTTACTTCGTTCCGTGCTTGCACACATCTGGCGTCTCATCAATCCAGCTGTCTGCATTTTCTTCCTCCTTGCTGATGCTGCAGTGCTCAGGTGCAGGCACAAAAGGGAGAGATCAGGAATTTATCATCTTTCCTCTTCAGGTGGAACAACAGAAAAAATCCCTTGGCAAATCCAATGTTCCTCCTTGTCCTCCTCGCGTGCTCCGTTTCTCTGCTTCTGTCGTATTTGAGAACTTCCCAATGGTTTCTGTAGAGTAAGGATTAACTCTTTGCCTGGACAGAGCCAAAACACATCAGTTTGGAGTGTCCAGGGGAAAGACTTGTGTTTGTTAGGACAGACAGACAGCTGCCCTTCACCCAGGAGGGTCCTTCTGTGCTGACCTGCAGACCTGCAGCCTCCACTGAACCAAATGGAAAGGCTCAAGTGAAAGAATAGTGTCAAGGCAAAAAACACCTTGAATCCTCTCATTTATAAAGCCCTCCTGGAAGTGCAAAGCATTTATGATTCCCCTCGCTGTTATTATTACTGAAAAAAAATTACAAGAGAATGGAACAATGAGGGCAACGAAGTCTTTTCATGGTAAAAACCAGTTCCATGTGGCAAAAAATACACCTTTGCTTACATGATACAAGGTACTTTGGTTTCTCTTCCATTTAAAAGTGTGCTTTTCTGTATCTCAAGGAGTGTTTTTTTTGCTGGGCAGCAAAGGGAGTTTTGATGAGCTTTATTAAATTTTGCTGAGGACATCAGTGCTCCCATTATGCAACAGTTCTTCCTACAGCCAGCACCAGCCAGTCTGCAGTCTTTCCAACAAGATTTTAGGTGCAGAATGCAAAACTGACCATCATTCAGCCTTCACATGGACTGAATTAAATTCCACTGAGAGCAGCAAAAATCTGGAGCTGGAATAGAGGAACAGATGAGTGTGTGGAGCCTGCAGAGCGTCGCTCCTTACCTGCCTCGCTCGGGCCTCGCTCCTCTGCAGCACTGACACTCCACAGAGACAAACTCCCTCTGGACAGACTGCAATTAAAGCACAGTCCCTGGACTAATTCCCATTCCTGTGTGGGAGCAGCAGGCAGCTGCCAGGGCTGGCTGGGAATTGGTGTGATCCAGGGCACGGTCTGATCACCTGCATTGCTTCAACTGAACATTTCCATCCATGTGCTGAGGGGTGCAAACATATTCCAGCATTCTGACTGAACTCTGGATGGGAGCTCTGCTTCACTCACTGATTAATTCTCTTTAAAGCTAACAATAACATAAAAGGAGACTGCACACAAGTGCCAGCCTCCAAACAGCTTGTAATTGCTTTTTTGGCAAATAGTCATAAAGGGCTCTGTGTTTTCAGAGCTGCAAAGTTCATTCACAAATAAGTTTGGCAACAGAAATCACAGACCCACCATACACTCTCTGCTGGATTATCTACTACAAAATCCTTAGCCAAAGATTAAAAGGAAAAATCACAGATGCATTTCAGCTTTCACAGTTTAAGTAGCAAATGGCTTCAGTAAATAATTAATGTGACAGAAAGAGGATTTGCTGAGTAAGGCAACACTACCAATATTACTAGATCAACTTAATTGTGTTCTGCCTTGCTAGTTAATCCTGTCCTGAGTATTACTAAGGAAATAAACCAGAAGTCTTGTGCTGTTGTACCTCTTCTGTCCCCAATGTCTGGCCTGGGATTGCTCTGAGCTGGGTTGGTACAGGATGAATAGGTGGAAATTTGGAATATTTAACACTGTAGCCATTCCTCAAAAGCATTTGAGTTAATTTAGGTGGATCATGCAGACCTCTGTGATGCTTGGGTTGCTACTTAGAATGTTCTTTAATGTCTCTTCACTCAGCCTATTAAGCATTTAAGGTTACATTGCACAGAGACTGTGTGCATTCATCTTAAAATCAAGAATTAGATCTTTGAGTATTAATTAAAAAAAATCAGGCCTTTTTTTGGTGTTTTTTTCAATGTGAAGAACAGTTCTGCTCTGACTTGTTATTTGTATCAGGGAAGAAACCAAGCAGAGAAACTCTAATTTAGAAAGAATGATCCTACAGTCACATTTCAAAGTACTTGTTCAGCAATAAAGAGTCTGGATTAAAGTGAAACATAAGGGATCAATAGTTCCCATTTCAGAGAAAATGAGGATTATTGGACAGAGAGCAAATCCCAGCCTTTGGTTTGATGATTGGAAATGTATACAGTAAATGTACCTGCAAAGCAATCGATGGACACAGTTTGTGCTTTCCATCTGAGAACTGAAGGGCGAGGAAACAGGAACAGCTCCCTGCGAGCTTCTTCCCCCTTTTTGAAGCAATGAGAACAATTGCTGTTGGCACAGGGACACTCTTTGCACCTCACCCTCACCAGCAGTTGGATTTCTGTTTTCATAAATGGTTTCTCCTTACTCATAAAATATGCATGGTTTAAACTGCAGTTTATCATATATAACTTCATTTATCCTGCTGAAACTGTAGCATTCCTACAGTTCTTGTACATGAGTGCAATTTAGCATGGAAAGCTCTCCTGGAAAAGAATGATAATTTTTTTCCACTATTCTATTACAAAAAAATTTTACTTTACTTACTTTAAATTCTATTAGCTAAGTTTTTAATAACTAATATGAACTTTCTTTCCTGTGTTTATTATTTTTGGAAACTTGTTTTGAAAAATAATCTGTACAATATACCCTTGGTTATTCTTTACCTTTAAAGAAAATACTTAGTAAACTTGGTACATGAAACAATTGGACAACATGAATATATGACCTAATTTATGAGTGTTGCTTTTTTTGGCACAACTTACCCCTCATTGAAAGCAGCACCCTGTAACTGCATTATTAGCTTGGCAATACCCACTGCAATGAAGAGGTAGCTGAAATCTGTGCTTCTCCATCCCATTAAAAATCCAAATTTTACAGCCCCGCACCTTGAGAGAATAAATTTGCAATAAAAAATTGTTGACTTACAAAGCATACCAGTTCTTCTTCTTTTTTTTTTTTTTTAATTTTAAACTGGCCAAGTTTTGTGTCTGAAGAAACAAATCAGTATTTCAGTATGAGAAAAATCAGTATTTCAGGGTTTTTCCATGTGCTATTGATTAATTTTAAATAGAGATTTTGTTCATCAAAGGTTATTAACTCAATTCCACTTTCATTGGTTATGCAATAACCACTCTGATTTCAATAAAATATGTTTTACATTTGGGGCAGAAGAGAAATCAGGAAAATGTGCTTCTCTGTGCTTTACAAAACAAATCAATCCCTCTCTCATTATCTAAAAGTCAAAATTTACCCAAAGCTTTTTGTTAATATATTTTATTTGCATTCATATCAACCTCTTGCTACTTCCAAACCTTTCACTTCTTATTATCAGAGAATTTCCCCTCCAAAATGCACCAATAATCCACATTCCCAGTTTACCTTCAAACTGCAGGGAAAGGGTCTAGGACACTCTGATTACAACAATTTTCATAAAGAGATAAAATGCTACAGTGACAATCAAAACTAAGCCACAGAGAAGTGGAGTTCATGCTCAAGGCTGTCTCACAGAGCACAGCAGAGCTTGTGGAATGATGGAGAGGTGGCTTTGAATTAAAATACCTGGTTCCCAATATCAACAGTACTGCCAAACAAATGTGGGTTTTCTTTTAATTCCATCATGGTTCTCAGTTAAAGTCAGCTCCTATTTTAGAGCTCCATCACCCCATACAATGCACTTTGCTTCCTCTCTCATCTTCCTATTTGGTGGCTCGTGACCAGAGGCGCTCATGCCTTGCGTAGTTCCCCATTCCTTCCTGCCTACGGGAACATCCTGCTTGTCCCGAGTTTCTTTGCAGGGCTAAATACCTCCCCAGAGGAATTCTTCCCTCGAATCACACAATCAGTTCTCATCAGCTTTGGCTTCAAACCACAGTGACTGCCCAGCATGTTTCTTGGCACGAAGAGAGGAATTCCACGTTTTCTCATTCCCTACTCAGGTGAGCCTGAGGAGGCTCAGAGAAAAGCAGAACTTTGTTTTCATTCTGGTGCTGTACTGTACTCTCCCTCAACCTGAAAGATGTGAGGAATGATGTGAGGGACAAACCAGAATTACTTGGCAAAGGCACTCATGAAATCCCTGCAGTTTGGTGTGTTCACCATCAGCTCTGAGGGCAGCCCACAGGCAAAGTCCAACTCCCATTATTAAATCCTGGGAGCTTGTTCCAGCCCTACCAGTTTATCATAGCCCAGGAATTTGGCTCTTTAGGAGAGCCTGGAGCAGTGAGTGGCCAGTGCTGGACAGGAGAACACTGGTGTTGGGAACACTTGTCATTTGGTTTGTCCACAGCACTTCAATGCGGGACGTGGAATCCAGAGGGGAGGGTTCTTTATAGCCAAGTGAAACTTTCTGCTTCCTCAGCTGACTTAATTAACTGCTGGGGAAAAGAGCCATTTGCTGAGACTGAAGAAAAGTGCAGCAATGAGACTTCACCCCCATTTTCTGATAGTGCTCAGACCTCACTGTGTGCTGTGCAATGCCCACAGAGAGCAGCTCCTGCCCCCAGAGCCTTTGCAACCTGAATTCCCTGATTTACACCTACAAAAGCTGTGGCCTCTGGCACAGACATCCCCTCCAAACTATGCTGCCTTTTTGACTCGTGTAGTTTGTAATGTTCTCAATCTCTCAATGCCACACCAGGAGAGGTGTTGCTTGTGTGCCTCTACCATGTCTGTGGGAAAAATAAAGTGAAAACGTGGTTTAATTGCAGCTCCTCTATGCATTCACAGCCTGACTGTTGCCAAGGCAACATGTGATTGAGAGACATAAGATAAACAAGAATCTCTCCAAAAAGTGACAGGCAATGGGCACAGTAAGGAAACAACCCCAGTTCCTCCTGGTGTGGTGCTCTGACCTTCTCTTTAGCAGCACAGTGAAACATTGTGCTAAACTAAGGCTGTGATCTGCTACCAAAATGTCCTTAGGACAGTTTTACCAAATGTCAGTTGTGCAAACATGAGCATTTCATCTGTGGACACAGCACCCAGCGGGGCTGGGAAGCTCCACATGTGCTCTTGCAAACCCCTCAGTGAGCTTTGCTTTGGTGCTGGAATGGGAACAGGCTTTTGGGTATCACAAAACAGCACATGGAATAGAGATGGAAAGGGTTCACAGACCTTCCAGCCTATCTGGGAGCAACACAGAGTATTGCAAGGACCATACCTGGCTCCTGAAGCAGAAGTTTCTGCTGCCAAGAATGTTCCTTGATTTTTACCAGTTCAGCTTCCACTGGTTGCTGCTTCAAGTATCTGAGAAGGATAAGTGATGCCATGGAAGGTAGAAGAGAACACATTACATGTGCTCAGGAGCAGCAACTCCTGAAAAATGAAATTACATGTGTTCAGGACACCAATCTCTGCATTTCTGACCTCAGTTGCTAAGTGACAATGCTTAAGGCGAGATAAGTCACCTACTCCAGGGGCGTTTGCAGCCATACACGGGGATAATTATAGAAAAGGTGTCAAATCAGTATGGTGAGAGCATCACACCCAACAGATTTGTTTTCTTCTTATTACAGGAGGGGACAAACCACATCATCTGTTGGAAATCCTTGGCCTGCTGCTTAAGGGAACATTAGTTAAATACCAGAGATATTTCTGTGCTGCCACGTTGTCAGTTCTCAGCTTCAATGGCAGCATGGAACAAATACACTCTGCTCTTTTGGTCCTGTGTGGCTCAGCACCAGGGAAGCAGGAAAACCAAACCAAGAGTGTCCATTAGCACAGATTTTCAGAAGGAGGAAAACCTGTCACTTCTCTATTGAATTTTGCTGGGGAAAAGAGAAAATAAAGGTTTGTGAGCTGCAGTTTCATTTACACCACTGTGGCAGCCTGAACTCCTGCTGATCCCCAGGCTGGTGCTGAGGTCTCCAGGAGCAGCAGGGCTGTTTGACTCTGCCTCGAGGTAGGAGCCTTATTTTAATCACTGAGAGGTTGTTGGAACAATGTCACAGGAGGGCCAAGCACTACCAAGCTCTGCTGTGTATTGGGCTGTGGTGTTCACCAGGAGAAGAAAAGCCTTTTGGTGTGAGAAGGGTTTGCACTGAGTGGTTTTGGGGTTTCTTTTTTGCACTAACTTTTATCATTCTATTTTTGTTTAGTTTTCTCTATTAAAGAAAGCTGCAATGTATTTGCCAGTTGGCCAGAAATAATTTCAATGGCTTCTGCTTCAGCCAGCAGGCTAAATAATCCATTAACCTGCATGGGATAAACAGGGTGTAAAAGGTTCTTTAAAACAAAAATTCCATATAGATATCTGTTTAGCCAATGGAGAGGAGATGGATGAAGGAAGTGGTGAGAGGACCTCCAGCAGGGGGATACAAACAGCCCTGCAAGCTGCAGGTCACCCAGGCTATCCCAACACAGGGCACGTTTGGATTCTGCAGCAAAGCCTTTCCCAGTGCCCCTCTAGGTGAACAGGGATTGATCAAACATTTTGTGTTATCTGCAGCAGAATCTCACAGATGTTTCCTGGCAGAAACCTTAAGCAGAACACCAAATGTTTCAACATCACATACAAAGCTGGTCCAGAGCCAGCCCTTTACGGTGGTGCTTTGTGTTTGCCTATAGTGTTGCATGTGCCTGTCAAATCCTCTTCCTGTTTTGGATATCAGATCTGGGGATGGAGAGCTTCCAAATGCTGGCCAGGTCCAAAGTAAGCTGTGCTCCACAAAAATAAAAACAATAATATCAGAAGAAGTTTTAATACTCGGATGAATAATTGTCTCTCTATTATTTCCTGACTTGCAAGCTTACATGTGTTCGAGGAGGGGGGCAATTTTAAAAGGCATATGCTCAATTCCTGCTGGCCAAAGAGATTAAAGTCTCTTGCTCTCACAGCCTTTACATCTCACATGTCAAAGTGATATCCAACAAAATACATGTTAAGAACCATCCTCATCCCTTCTGATATTCATACAAAGGGCTTTGGGTTAGGTTTGTGGGCTTGCCCACTGCAAGTCTGCTGGAGACAAAGGGAATGCTATATTGTTATCATGGAAGGACTTCAGACAGATGGAAAAGTGGTGAAGTGCTGTGAAATTTCTTGTGAAGGATGATTCAGGGAGAAGAATGTTGGTGGGATATGTTAGGAGAAAGAATGTGATAGCCAGATGGAAAATAAAGTTGTGAGTGTGGAAGCCCATAACAAACAAATAGCTGGTGTTTTATACACCAGGGCTACAGCCAGTGCCTCCTTGGCTTTGGTTTAACCTTACATCTTCAGGAATAATATTTCCCAATTTACAATCTGGATTTATTCATTAGGGTTGGTCTGACAGGAAATTTAAAAAAAAAATACAAAACACAATAGAATAAAATAAAAGTATGTGACTAGTTAAAAAAAAGTTTAGACTAAAAAGACCCCTAATGTTTCTCATTTCTTAAGTACTTTCTAAATAAAATCTGAGTTTTCTGGTGGTTTCTAGATCACTGAAGTTACAGGTTTATGTCTCAAGGACAGTGTTTGTAAGACACTGAGTTCAGATAAAGTGCACACCTAATTTAAAGAAGTCATTGCCTTAACTTTGTTTTCAACCAGTTGGATGAAACGAATCAAAATAAGACAAGAAATGTGAGAATTTGAAGCAAACCAAAAGCCCACTGGAGGAAGAGCAGCATCTCCAAGATGCAGGTGAAGCAGCAGCATCACTTTGTGTCTCTGTGCAGAAAAATGTCAGCAAAAGGAGCTGCTGGCAGCCCTGGCTGAGCCACAGCTCGGGGAAGGGAAAAGCCCAGGAGCCACTTCCAGCAGGAAAGATGATGTGGGGAGGTGGAAAGAGCCCAGCAGGATGGAAATGTGTCTGCACAGGCAGCCAGGACCTGCAGGAATGAAACTCTGCCCTCCAGGAGCTGCACCCAGAGCTGCCCAAAGGGACTGGGTGTATTTTAGCCAGACATGTAGAGTTTTCCACTCTGTCCCTCCCAAACACTGCTGCTGCCCAGCACACTTCAATGTACATGGAAAATTATATTCTTCCAGATGTTTCTACTTAGAGCTCAATAACTGCCTTCAACTATATGAACACATTAAAAACACTAATAAAGGGACTTAAACCAGGAACTTGTGTTCCATTATGCTATGGTTAACTGGCACTAAAAATCTAAACATGCACTGAGACCAGCACACACAGCATTTGCAGGCACAGATCCCTCAGATTTTGTCTTTCTAAATCATCCACAAAACTCTGGTCTCCACTGATTTTTAGATTGTTTTAGTCATCTGAACTGGTGGTTGCCCCTCTTTGGGGCTGAGCAGGAAGAGGAGGACCCAGGCACACAGGAGAAATATTTGCTATGGGGCAAGAACTTTCTGTTACCTGTGCCCCAAATGATTATTGTCTATTAACTTTTCTGATAGGCTCAGAGATGTTCCAACCCACACATTTGCACCAAGTGCTGAAGAATTCAGTGGAGCTGAAGCAGCAGAAAAGATGGGAGCCAAAGGCAGCATCAGGGATGGATCCCTGCTCCCCCTGCTCTGTTTCTCTGCCTGAAGAATCATTCATCAGTGGCAGATCACATCCCTTCCCCATCATTCCAGCAGTGAAGAAGCAGGCAGGATATTAAATGAAGTTCTCACTATGATCACTGCCCAGTGATCTGTTTCTGAACAGGCAATAAAAACCTAAAAGCCAACTGACCTTTCACAATATGCACATGATCAGAGTGAAAAAAAAATATCTAAAACATTTTAAATATAATAACACTTAATAGTTTTTAGGTTTTTAAGGATGTGAATCTTGTGTGGACTAAAAAGGTGGTGTCAGTTGTCCTAAATGGGCACTGAGGGTTGGGCTCAGCGGGGTGTGAGTGTCTGCCTTTGTGTCATACCAGGGACTGATGCTCATTTTCACACTGTACATCATCTCTGTGGCCTTTTTAGGGAAAATTCAACTTCTGACAAAGTTGAACAAGTTTGAAAGTTGAAAGTTGTCTGGCGCTACGGAACGGGTGCAATTCAGGTGATTTAACTCACATCATCCTTCTAGTGCCCATAAATCAGCCCAAGAATCCCAGACTGGGATTATCAGTGACTGAGTCAGCAAAAGCTTTTAGGAAAGACTTGGTAAATATTCTGTTACCACCTCACACCTGCAGTGATTAAAAAGTTCTATTATCCCATGCCCTGCTCTGATTAATTCATTCATCTGAGCTAAAAATGCTCTTTAGCAATCTCACCCCCTTGTTCCTAGAAAACAGAAATGATTCATTTGAACTCTATTTCTTTTTTTTTTCTCCCACCCCTGTGGTTCAGGATACTTCATGAGAATGAACTGGAGGGGTCAGAGGTGTTTTATCTGTCTGCCTTGTGCTTTGCTTTGTGGTGTCCAAGCCAGAGAGACTTTCTATTTCGTGATCATTCTGAATCACAGGAATTTCTGCTTCAATTCTTGCTTTGGCTCTGCCCTTTATTCTTTTTTTCTATGTCATTTTATCAGTTCCAAGGCCAAGAAAATCCTTCTGGATGACAGATTATTTATCCACACGTACGTTTTTCTTACTACTGATGAAATTTTTCTTAGTATTGAAGTAAGTAACTTTACAAAGGAGACATTTTTAAAGTACAATGAATGTCCTTCAGTCCAATATTAGAGTGGATTAGCAAAAATATAAGACTTGAAAGATTTTGTTCATGAACTGTAGACAATTCATGGACTTGAAAATGTGAACTAAATTGAGTAAAAAAAAAAAATAAAATTATTCATCCTAAAGTTTCACTGGCTTTCAAAGCAAGATTTTCTTCCAGAGTTCCAAGCCATTAAGAATGTCTGTTGGAACCATCCCCTATACTTAAAAACCTGTAGATTCCTCTGAGAATAATTATAGATTAAAACTCCAGCTAATTTGATTTCTTCCTCTCCTCTAGATAACAGTAGCTGTCAAATATTTTCACAGTTTGGATTTTTTCCCTGGACCACTAAATTATATTGTGCCTTCAATACAGGAGAATTGTTTGTTCTGCCAAATATTGTTGGGATTGAGGGTGGTTGGCTCTGTGCACTTTGATCTCATCCAGTTGCTGCTTTGTTACTGCACAGGTCAATTCTGAAGGTAAATTTCCATTCATGCAGAGAGGAAGTTTTCCCCTCCAGCTGTGATGCATGTTTGCAGTTAAATTAAGTGATGCTGAATCTGTTTTTTCTTAATTTTTGTTATAAATCCAAAATCTACTTATTTTCTTTCTTTTGCATTAGAGAATATGACCTCAGCATCCAAACTCTGATTTGAAAGTTTCTCTCAGCTTTGTAAAAGGCTCAGTCACACGGCCCAGGACCATTGTCCTGCTTCTCCTGCCACACCACACAGGGACCAGAGTGAGACACTTCCTTCAGCTGAGGGCTGTGCTCCACCACTGCAGACTTGAAGGGAATTCCCTCTGATCCACAGACATGGATAAGCTGGAACAAGTCCAGAGGACACCATAAGGATGCTCAGCCGAAAGAGCTGGGGTTGTTCAGCCTGGAGAAGAAAAGGCTCCAGAAAGACCTTAGAGCCCCTTCCAGAGGCTGAAGGGGTTCCAAGAGAGCTGGAGAGGGACTTTGGACAAGAGTGTTTAGTGACAGGATAAGGAGAAGTGGCTTAAAGTTGAAAAAGGGCAGATTTGGTTAGATATTGGGAAGAAATTGTTCCCTATGAGGGGAACCACCTCACACCTGGAGCTGGTTTCCCAGGGAAGCTGTGGCTGCCCCATCCCTGCAGTGTCCAAGGCCAGGTTGGACAGGGCTGGGAGCAGCCTGGGACAGTGGAAGCTGTCTCTGCCCATGGCAGGAGGTTTGGAACTAGACAGTCTTTAAAGTCCTTTCCAACCCAAACCATTCCATGATTCCTCCTTCCTTCATGGAGGACTGGTCCAATCCTTAATAATTCCTCCAAGAGTATTTCAGACTCATGGTCTCATTGCTGGCAGTCTCCCCTACACTAAATTCTCTCTGGTGCCTGGAACAGCTGCTTATTCCTCCAACTTGGGCCTTTGAGATGTAAATAGTGTAATCCGACTTCAAGAGGCAAGGAAATATTAGCAGAATTTAATGTAAATATTGTATAAATCATCCCAAAATAGCACGGCCATGGGATCAGCCAAAGACACTAACTGAAAGTTAAACAGACTAAGTAAATATAGACTAAATATATTCCCCTCCTGGAATTGCCACTGGAATGGATCCAGACAGGAAATAGGTTAAAATACAGTCTTGTGGCAGTGATATTAAAAAGCCATTGGCCCATTTGGTGACATTTATAATGAATTTTATGTACTCCATACATTTTTAATACATGCCGAGTTAAATATTATCAAATCTATAAAAAGATTATGGAAAAAAATGTCTGGTTTCATCTGGGTGGACGCTGCCTGGAACTCTCTCTGTGGGTTTTGTGTAGGAGAAGTTTTTGAAAGAAAACATGAAAGGGAAAAATAAAAATCTCTGCACAGCACTTTTGGAAAACTACTGCTTTCCCATCCAGAGCCCAGAAGACATCACATACCAAGGCAGCAGAATTTCCAAGACACAAACCACAATGGGGATGAAGGAGGGAGATGTACTAATTCCAACCCTTACACATGCAAATGGCGAAAAATCAATTTAATTGCCTAATGTGCCTTTGTGCAGCTTCAGGGTCACTGCAGTGTAACACAAAAGGGCCCTTTGCCTGCTTGGATGCTTTTCCAGCTGTAGCAAACGTGCTTAGTGGTAGCTCTGTGCACAGGTAACTGGAAGATAAAACATGCCCTGACTCACCTGGAACACAAGTGCTTGTTTTGATGTCCCAAAGACTACTTTCCAAAAAACTGTTTTGTCCAAAATTTGCCCACATTACAAACAGGATGGGATTTTTGTGCCTCACCCGGGTCCCAGGGAGAGCAGGGGGTGTTGATCTCTCCACACCCAGCTCCAAACCAGAGGCTACAGGTAAAGTCCAACATACCCAAAGGGAAATCTCTACTGCACCTTCCCAGGGTCTGAGCCCAGCAGAAGTTAATTCCTAAATATTGTTTTGCCAAATCCATCTTTCTGGAGCACCAGGAAAAGCTCTGATGATGTGTCTGTTGCCAGTTCCCAGTTCAGACAGCACCTGGCACTGCCAAAATGGGATAAAACCCACTGTTGGCTAAATTTCCTCCAGTCAAAACACAAGGAAGCTACAAAAGGCCTTTCCTGCAGTAAGGGTTACAAGTTGAACACATCACAGGTTTTTCCCTGAGTGAGCACCAACTTCACTTCAAAAACAAACCAATAGATCAGCCTTGTCCTCCTAAGCCTGCCTGCCACACATTTCACAGCAAACTGCTGCCCAGAGGACGTTGCTGTCACAATTTAAAGAGCAGGGATGGTCTGGACCATGACAGAGACACTTCTTCACTCACCTGCTGCCTGTGTCAGCTTCCACTGAGCCATCCTGGCAGCAGAGCACAGCCCCAAGGAGGAAATGAGAAGGGGATCTCCAGGAGAGGTGCGTTAGCTGCAGGTTGCCAACCTCCTCTCAAAAGTGAGGTGCTCACAGCTGCAGAAGTTTAAGCTCTAAAACAACAAAACAACACAAAGAGACACTTCCCTGTCTCTGTGACCCTGCTCTGCCTCCTGTGCTTGCTCAGGATGCAGCTGAGGATGGGGAGGACATCTGGGAACGGGGAGTTTGGGGGTCCCCACGTTCAGCTCTTTGAGACTGAGGTCAGGACCTTTGAAGGGCTGCTCGGGGCTCCCCACAGCGAGGTTTGCAAAGCTCTGCAGGTGCTGCTCCCTGCCCAGCCTGTCTAAAGTTTGTGTGTAAAGTTGCTTAAGTGGTGCCAGAACACACTTCAAGTGCAGACCTGAGCCCAGAGGTCGCAGCTCTTGTGTCTGGAAGTGTTTCCTGTAAGTGCTGCTCTGTCACACAGCAGGGCCTGGGAGCTGTCACTGATGCTGGGACACGCGGTCAGGGCGGCTTCTGGGACCTGCTCACCCCAGGACTGGCAGTGGTGGCAGCTGCAGGGACAAATTCCAGCTCTGCTGCTCAACGTGGGCTTATTTCTTATTATGGTAGTGAGCCCACATATCAATTTCTATGTATTTGCTATCTGTAAGCAGGTTTGGGGATCTTCCCTTTTGAAAATTGCTTGCAGGTCTCATACCAGGATAGTTCAGGGCAAAAAAAGGAGTTAAAATTGTTCAGCACCCAGAAATGGGTGAGTAAACGAAAGGAACTGGAATTCTACTCATTAGGGGTTAAGAAACATTGTGAGCTTCATGGGAATGATCCCAGTGCAAGCTCTGTGAAACACAGAGGAAAAAGAATCATTTATTTGGCAAATACAGCTCACAAATCACTGTATTGTGTAGGTCCAAGGCTTGTGTTCTGGAGAATAGATCTTTTATCAAAACAGAAGGAAATAATAATGTACATGAGGAATAGAAAGAGATTTTATTATGGATTTGAAAGAAAGAGCCTCGATTTTTATTTTGTATCTCTGATTTTTTTATTATTAGGTGTTGAATTAATTTATTTTATTGTCCTTTAGCAAACTTCAGCTGATTTTCAGGTTTTGATTTCCCAAACATCTCATTTGCTTTTCAGGTTTTTCTTAATAGATTTCTTTAATATGAGGTACTTAGTTTTAAAAATGGATTCTATTAAGTACCTTCCAAATTAAATCCAGCAGAATTATGCCTTGAGACACAGCAAAATTGAAGAGTATGATAATGAGCCATCACAATCAAACTTCTCAGTTATCATTCAGTGAATAACATCAGAACTGAGCCTTGTACCACAAAGACACAGGCTATTTTTTATGTAAAAATCTGGCAAAATACTACATTTCAAAATTAGAATTATTTTGAAGAGTGCTTCTATGAAATGGAGATTGAAGATGATCTCAGAGCACTGAAATTAGAACATGTTGCTTCAGTGCTGAGTCTGTAATGAGAGTAACTTCATCAACACATTTCCCACAGCAGCTCTTGGTACCAGGTAGTGCTTTATACCAAGTGTAAAGAATGACCAAAGGCAGAACTCATTCAGATACAGATTTCTTAAAATTCAAGTGGACCAGGGAGCCAGAACAGCAAGGGAAAATCAAATACAGAAGTAAAGAAGATCTGGGGTTGTGGCTTTGTTGGTTTTTTTTTTTAAGTTACATTTTGCTTATCAAATAGGGCCACACAATCAGAATGAAACACATTCCCTCTCCCTTCTGCATTACACTTTCCAAGAAGTTTTTAATCAAAAAGACTCTTGGTGTTCCTCAGCGTTGGAACTCCAGGTAAAACCAACACCAGTTCTCCAGAGATCCCCTCAACAGGGAAAGGGACAGCCCCTCACAGCTCAGGTTGAGTTGATCTGCAAAACAGCCAGGGGGGTGCTGGGGGGGATTTCTCACCACTGACGCTGCTGGAGCCAGGAAATGCTTCCAAAGGCTGATCCTGGGGCCCCAGGACAGGGATTTGGTCTCTCTGCTCCCAGCCCTGTCACTACCATGACATCAACTGGGACCAGTCACTTCCCATGGGTGTCCCAGCCAAACCAGTGCCTGGAAGCTCCCTGTGGCTTGTAGAGCAGCTCCCACTGAGCATCCCTGACTGCTGCTGAATCAAATGAAGTGAATCAGAAAGTTCTGCAGAACTGTCCCAAAGCACTCACTGCAAGCTGTTCCTCTCAGCTTTGTCTGAGTGCCGGGAAAAGGAATGTGAACAGGGTAATGATGTTGTACACAAAGTTTTGGAGCACTCAGTGTTCTCAGAAATGTAAATAACACCAGAAAACACCACATGGGATATGTAAGCTTCTTTAATAATAATAAATTTATTAAGTGGCAAGAAGCCACTCTGCTTTGTAAACCGATTTTACTCAATCACAGTCCCTCTATTGTTTTCCCCATTTAACATGAATACATTCTGTAATTTGTATGTGAAACAATTTCATAGAGATATGTTCTGAACCCTTCTTGCTGATTTTACTGGTCAGAAGAACATTAAAACATGCGGAAACAGCACCTTATTAAAACTATAGGCCTTTTCTCATTACATCTCCTTTGCTGCTAAGCTAAATTGTCTCTGAATAAGCCAAGTCTACAGAGATTTTTTTTTCCTTGTCCTGTGTTCTGAGATGTAGTGGGGCCTGCAGAAATGTCTGATAAAACCTCACATATAATAAGTAATTCAGACTTTGTAAGCAATAGCTGCAGTTGCTTGTTCAGACTAGAGAGAGCTTCTCATGCATTAATGCACTTGGTTAGGTTTTGTGAGGAGCTCAGAGGAGGTCGTGGCCTCTTCCTGATATAATTAGTTGAGCCTGGACTCTGCACCACTGATATTGTTCATCAACTGTGTGCACCAATAATTTAAAAAAAAAAACCCCAAAACAAACTAAACAATACATCAGGCTGTTTTTATCAGAAACAAGTAATAAATCTTATCATGATAGTTAAAAAAAAAAAAAAAAAAAAAAAAAGGCAATTTCTGACATGTGACATTTCATTGCTTGAGAACAGATCAGTGCAAAGTGAGGTAACCCCACACCCCGGCAGGGCTGCGGCCGTGTCAAACCAGGCGCCGTCTCTTGGAGTCCCTCTCCATCTCCTCGGGGGGAGAGTCCCCACTGCACCCCAGGGGAGACACCAGGTTTAGCAAAGGGTCTTCAGAGGCCCCTCCAAACAGGGACAGCAACAAAGCCACGCCATAGCCAGTAGCTCGCTCGCCCTAGAACAAAACCAAAACCGCACAGTTCACACTTGTAGGATTTGGATAAGTTTTAATTTGGCTGCTCATTCAACGAGAGCCGTGGTGGTCAGCAGCCACAGCCAACCCCTGCTCTGTGCTGCTGTGTCCTCCCTGACACTGGAATCTGGCCCAGCTGGATTAAACCAACACATGAGAACTGAGCTCCCACTGACTTGTGGGTGGAGAGTGGCCAGCATTGTTCAGGGCAGGGGATCTCCCACCCAGCCTGAGCACGGATTTGGAATATGAGCTGAACAAACTGGGTTTAAAAAAAACAGAAGCAAGTGGAGTGAATTGGCTTGGTTTTTAGGAAAGAGAAAAGAATATACACAAGTTCCACCAAAAGGAGGAGAGAAAATCTCCACGAGGGAACATATTTTTGGAAGGATGATCAATTCTGGTCAATCATCTTAAAACAACATGGTTGAAAATGGAAGGCTGGGATTATTGCCATGAACAGAGACCAGGCAAGTCGTCAATGCTCACAGTGATAAAGATGTCACTGATTTAAAGTGGCTGCTAGAATATTTTAAAACCAAAATGCAAAATACGAACAGATGAAACTATCAAACCAAGGAACTCGCAACGGAGACGAGTCAGTGCTTTTCTAAAGGATCCTTCTCCACCTATTTCTGTCCCTCTGAACTGAATGGACACACTCCAGAGCCCCTGCAGGCAGCAGAAGGTGTGTTTCCCCAGCCTGTGTGCCCAGGGAGGGGAAGGAACACTCACAGCATGCACGGGAGCAGCGATGTCGATGTGCACCCACACCCCAGGCCAGTCGAAGCCAATGTGAGAGGCAATGAAGAGCCCAGCACAGGAGCTTGGGGTATTGTCTCGGTCCTGTGGGAGCAATAAAAATAGAGCTGGTCTCACAAGCAAAGAAAATGTTAATGTCCTGCATAGAGGAAAGGCAGTTACAGCTTAATGAATGGCCGTGAAACAGTCTTATAAACCAACTTTACTGTAAACCCTTGACTTAGTCCCTAGCAGCAGTGTGGCCCTGCTCCATTCCTCTTCTGCCCACACTCCTTTCTGCAGAGGTTTTGGAACCTCACTGCACACTGGAACTCTCAAATGCAGCAAAAGCAGCTGCAGCAATTCCGAGGCTTCCGTCCTCAGTTTCCTGGTTTCTGCACTCCCAGCTACTTCCTCTGCTGGTGATGTATGATCTGAGGAATTTCCATCTTGATTTCCTAAAAGGGCTCCATCCAGGAATTCAGCATTCATTCAGAGCCATGCTTAAAAGGCAAGCAGCCCAAAGATACCTTTGCAGCAGCTCACCCTGTTTAAACCTGACACTAAAGACAGTCTGCAGAGCCCCAGGTGAAAGACACTGAAGACCAGGACAATATGGGCCATTTATAAAAGGTGCCCCCATGAAGAGCTTTCAGCAGGACAGCTTGTTGTCTAGAAAACACACATCTTTATGTAACAGAGAAATTTAAAAGAAAAAATAAATCTTACTGCTACAGAGTTCTTCATATCAGCTACAGCAGAGGTAAATTCACTGAAGTGGAGCTCAGGGCAGTACACCAGAGGATGGACCAAGTCTCCACAATTCCTGCCAGCTTTAACACAAGCCTTTTCCCATTCTTCATTATTGGTAAGAACAGCAGCATGGTATTTTCCTGTAGCAATTCCCTGGTGAGGTAAAGGACAAACTCAGGAAGAAGTCACCTTCCACCACTGCTCATCAATATAACCTTGTATAAAATAGGAACAGGTGCTAGAAAATAATAGTGTTAAATTTATAGCCTTGTATCACTCCATGTGTGACTTGAAATAGAAGCCATTTCATGGACAAGAAAATCCTGATCACTATTAACAAATCAGTTCTGGTAATTATATATTGAATTGCAAACATGCAAACATGGAGTACTGGCCTGCTTCCATCAGCGGCTGATGTCACCAGAATACTACTTTTAATTTAAGTATGCAAAAGCAAAAAAGTTGCATAAAGAACAGAAAAGAAACTGATTTATAAATGTAGTTTTGTACCTGAGCTCCAGTAAGAGTGGCCATATCCAGAATGATATCAGCTCCAAGGTCTTTGCAGGCGTAAGCGACTCCATCAGCCAGGATCAGGCGACCTTCTGCATCAGTGTTATTGATTTCCACAGTTCTGGGAGGAAGAGAGGGCATGTCAGGCTGGAGAGCTTCAGGCTGGAAGTCAAGACTCACCTGTCTGGACTATAATACTTGAGAGAGCAGCCTCAGGCCTCATGTGCTTCTCTTATTTGACCCTGCAAGTCTGTGGGGCTGCTATTCCCCAGCTCCAAGCATCCAGACAGAGCACACAAGGAAAAGGGAAATGACAGTACTGTGGCAGGCTCTGCCTGTTGAACCTGTGTGATGCCTTGTTGGAATTCTACAAATTACTGCCAAAGATGTAACATCTGTCCTTAAAAGAGATTCTGATGCACTGGTGCCCTGTCTTTGCTGCTTTGCCACACAGTGCAGCTGCAGAGGGACACAGAAAACTGGTTCTACTACAAAACCACCTAAATCTGAGGGCCTTAAGGCAAGTGCAGCTCATGATATACATGTATTTTTATGTATATTTATATACCCCACAGGAAAATCTAAGTACACTTAAAACTCACTAATATGGATGTCTGGAATGCAATTCCCAATATTTAGGGAAGCTGATTTAGGGACAGCCTCACAATATGCATGGCTCTCAAATTAACACAAAAATGATGTTTGTTCTGTTTATGGGAAAGGGATAGATACAATCTTACTTTCCAGAGTAAAGAACATGAATGTCATCAGGTCTCGTTGCACGTGGTCCCACTGCGTTCTCAGCCAGACAAAAAACAGCATGAAGATTGTCCTTAAACCCCTGTAAGAACCAGAGGGAAGAAATGGCTTTTGACTCACATCAAGCTGATTTATTGGGACTGAAGTCAGTGAGGGATTAAGACTTCTTGACAGCAATGCTACAATTTTCAAAGGAAATCCAGTTTTAGGACAGGTGGGTGGGTGTTAGTTCTTGAATGTGTTGTTCTTGCTGGGAGGCACACAGCATTTTTAACCTGTTTTGTTTTTTTCCTTTAGCCTCCTCTCTTCTGCTTTATCTCATAATGCTCTAATTTTGATTTAAAGTCAAGTGCTTATGTGGTTATGGATGGTATTTTAAAATGGATGATGATTCTGTTATTTATACAGCAGTTGTATTGTGTGGAGGGATTCTAGGAACAGACAGGGAGTCAGCAGCATTTAACAAATGAAAACATTGTTCCTCCTTAACTGGGATAGTTAACCTTAACAGCAGCAAATTCTGGGGGAAAACCTGGACCAGTTTAATTCTTAATCTCTTGATAAAAGTCTGTGGCTGAAGAAATCTGGGCTTGCTGAATCAGCTCATGTTCTGAAGGGCAAAGGCATCAATCAAAACCTTTCAAAATAACAGGCAGCATTTAGAAGCCATAAAGTAATTCCAGTTTCTAGCCCAGCTAGTGGGCAAACAGCATTGCTGGAGATGGACCTTCCTTCCATGACCCAACTATTCACAGAATCCCATTGCACTGCACTGGAGTTTTCTCCTCCAAGAGAGACATGTTATTAATCTACTGTCAAAAAGTGAAAATCTATTTCCAGTATCAGGTGCCTTTTCCTGAACCTCATTCTGCCTGCAGCTCTTCAAAAGCAGGATCCACTATGCTAACATGCAGGATCATGTTAACAAGAAAGAAATCAAAAATTTAGGTCAATGTTTTTCTCGTCTCCCTTGTGTTGGAAAGCTCACAATGGAGGAAATGCACCTTTCTAGGAAAAATCACTTGTTTAATTTTGCCATCCAAAGCCTTTTAAAAACATGTTGTGTAACTGTTGAACAGCATGCAGGCAGGTATTTCATGAAGATGGAAAATAACCTCTACCCCTCCTCCCACTGAGCTTTCTATCCAACACACATTTCCCACTTCAGTCTCTGTGACAAAGCATAGCTCAGTGAAACCTCTTCTACCTTTCTTTTATTCTTAAAAGCATTAAAAAAAAAATGAAGCCTTGAAACACTAACAACAAATTCTTCCCACTGCCTCTCTGAACACATTTTCTGCAGGGATATCATTTACAGGTCTTCTCACACAAGACTGTAAAATTTAGCAGTGAGTTCATTCTTTTGTTTTTACATATAAAGGCATATAAAAATTTCTCTGGGCTCAGTTTGTCCAAACACATCACTGGCAGTTTATTCACTGTTGCAGTAATTGTGTATGAACTGACAGATCACTTGTGCTCACATCTACTGTGACTGTGAATGGAACTTCTCTCAGTGCAGACAATCACACACAAAACTACTCTGGAAACAAGGACTGAACCACTGAAAGGATGTCCCCCATCCATGGCTATCCCAAAATTTCCCAAAGCACTACATTCCAGCTCTTGTCACTTGCAGACCTCTGACATAACTTTCTCAAGGATTTAGTTATGCAAGGTAGTTATTCTGCCTGAGATACAGCTCACAAATCTGTTTTCAATTTTAATTCTCAGCAGACAACTGTGAAGTTCACAATCTTTCCACATCAAACATGCTGTTAGGGCCAAGGCACAGAGCTAGACTATTGAGAAATGGGAATTTGGCACTGATCAGCCCCCGGACAAAGCATCCATCAGATCTATGCATTAATCTGCAGCAGTAAATATGTTTTGAACTTTGGATACTCCTTGGAGGCAATAGCTGCTCTGTCAGCAAGACTCAGTCACTGGATTTGTGGAGAGGGCAGAGTTTTATTGGCAGCAGCCACTTTTCCCCAGTTTGCATAGTTGAAGCGCAATAGGAATATTTGTAATTCTTTGTATTTCAATACCTGGCTTCTTCTCAGCTCCCCCACTACTTTCTGACCACAGAAGCAAACCAACAAGGAGCTCCTGATGACACTAGAGCTGCTATTTCCCCACTAGGTTAATATTAAACCTGGCACAGGATTTGGAATATAGAAAGACTTCATATCCCAAAGTCACTCATCCCCTTCTTTGCTAAGGTGACAACAGCTGCCCCAAATCCCACAGCTTAAACAAAATCAGCACTGGATAACTCAAGTATAGACCTGATTCAAGGAACTAGAAACCACTCAGTCCACAGAACAAACCCTGAAATTCAAGGAAGACCCTTAAAAAAAACAGCACTCAAGGAATTTCTCACAATTCTCAAGATCCCAGTAAAGTCGTGAAATATTTTCCTGGAATAGCAGAAAGAGCAGAGTGGCTCAAGCTCACTAAGAGCAGTGGCAGGTCAGAACTTCAGGATTAGACAGGCTTCTGTCTCTGGGAATATATCCAAGCTCCTTGGCAGTGCTGGGATACATGATATCAATTAACACATTTTACTTACTTGCTTTACAGTGGCTTTGAAGGCACCCAAAATAGCAGCTGCTCCACCACAGTCTCGTTTCATTCCAGGCATAGTAGTCTGTTTAAACAGAACCATAGAATTTTTTTTTGTTTTTGAAAGAGAATTTCACATTAATGCCTGCTAGAACCAGTGTTTCTGATGCTTCTGAGGCTCTGGTTTTGACAATGCTCAGCTGTCAACAACACAAACAGAGAACATGTGCCTCTGCTTATTGGTGGATCTGGTCTTGGAACTGAAAAATACTAAACCTGGGCTGCTAAACTTAGGAAAGCGAAAAGAAAAACGTTGTGTATAAGTTTCATGCTGAGCCCAACTACAAGGGGTTTTGGTTCTGTCTTTGAAACCAGAAATTAAACATCTTTGTTCCTACCTTATGCCTTTCAGCAGGCAATATTTAAAGGGCAAAATATCATGTTGCTATTGAATTGTTCTGTAGTGGTCCTTGAAGCCCATTTGGTCTTCTCCCCTGATAGTTTGTGTCCATATGGATGACAACAGATCAAGCATTTAACTCAATAAAAAGGTACTTTTGTTTCCTACAGACATTATCTGAACTGCTTTCATCACAAAACAAGAGTGTAAGCACAGACAGCAGCAGAACAAATGCTTCTGTACCTTTCCCTTGATGCTGAGTCCTCCAGTGTCATACACAATACCTTTGCCCACCCAGGCAATGGTCTGTGTGGCACCATCTGGAGTGTGACTGAGAACTGCCAGGGCTGGAGGATGCAGAGCTGCCTTTCCAACTCCATAGATACCTGGAAAACAGAGAATTAAACCTGTGGGGAAGGAAGACTGCAGGGAGCCCCTGTGGGTATTTTCTTGGAATACTGTGGGCAACAAAACAGTTTCAAAAATGTTCAAATGAAACATTACAATAGAGATGGCAAAAAAGATATAAATAGAGATGGCAAAAAGTCATCTGTTATGATGACTTTTTAAATTAATTAATATTAAAAAAAAAAGTGGAATACTCAACAAGATTTACCTCCAAAGCCTCTCTCTTTCAGCTCCTCATCTCGGATAATGGTAGGAGTAATCCCAAGATCCTTACCAACTTTTTTGATTTCCTTAATAATTCAGAAAAAAGGACACTGTCAGTCAATCATCAGGACATATTTGTGCCTTTCCACACAAATGAGTTAGAGGAGTTTTTGTGATTTTTGCATGCATACACATACAAACATTCACAATTTTGGGAGTGGTGCTGCCTTTCCAATGGCCTAATTCCACTGACACATCCTTGACTTACTATGGCATGAAATATAAATTTGACCTTTAGGCTCTGCCAATGAAAGAAATCTTCTGAGGTAAAGGACAACTGTTCACTCTATTGGATCATGACATAATAGGACAGAAATAATTTAATTCTCAACAGCTTTCCAGATCTTTATGATGAAGCCCATTTGAAAATATGTCAACTGTCCCTTAATTTCAGTAACTCTGGTCCCCATCAGGTTTAAGACAAGAATCTAGTGCCATGACCAAATGAAGAACTCATTTTTTCAGCTTCCTAGTGCCCAACTTCAAGCTGTAAACTCTGCCTCCTTCCAACTTTGCACAGTTCCACAGAACGTGAAAGGCCAAAGGAAGAGCCTGAGCACCCCGGTTTGATTTTCTTCCCACTGCTGACACTCAGCTTTCACTGAGAGACAGCAACACTCGGGTTTGATTACCGCAGTCTAGACTTCCAATTAGCAATTCTCACTCATCAGGTGCATCACCAACCTCCAGGAAGTTGTCAGTGTTCATCTCGTTGCACGGGGTGTCCACGATGCGCGCGGCCAGCCGGACCCCTTCGGTGGCACTGGCCAGGCACTGCAAACACAAGGGAGGACACCTGGGAAGGGGCTGGCCTTTGGCACAGCTTTGCATTTATCCCTCTGCAGATGTGTGGCTCCTCTGGAGCATGTTAATGCTTAACTGCCATCACCACAGGCACTGCACAGTTAAACAATGTCAGCCAAGCTAACCATTAGTTTTTGTATGTGTCCGACTTATTTTTCTATGTGCTTTAATTTCTAAGCAACTGTTTTCCTTTACCCAGCACACTGGTGTTGCAAAATTAGTATCTTTCTCCGTTATGAAAGGGAGACCAAGAAGGCAATGTGAGGTGGAGGAATGAAAGATAAGAGGCAGCTAATTCAGGAAGTCACAATGAGCTTACGAGTTGCCAGGGTTGGAAACCTGCAGAGATTGTGTAATCTGCAACATGGGAAACTGCAGAGTTTGTACAGGGCAGGCAGAGTGGCTGAGGGCAATAAAGATTACAGCTGTGACTGTGTCCTATATGGCAGGCCAATGGGGAAACTAGAATATTTCATGTTTGTGTACAACATGCACTGTTTCCTGATTTCTGTGGCAAAAAGGACTGACCCTCACCTGGACTGAGCAAAAACTTATCTAATCAAGAGGGAACAGAATCAAAATGGTCAAGCAGCCAAGGCTGTTTCCCTGGATCAGAAGGATTCTTCTGGCAAAAAAAGGACCATGAAGACACCAGACATGAAGCTTCAACTTTTAACTCCCATTAACTAACAACTTGAAGCTGTAAGACCTGGGGGAAGGAAACTTTGTGCAAGCTCTCCAGTAGACACACTACACTGAGGACCACACACAGCACTAGGGTGAGTCAAGATGGGTTTCACAGGAATCTGAGGTGTTGGACACTCATGCTGAGGCATCTGAAGTTTGGCTTGGACAGACCAGCCTAAGGACTCCATACATTTGTATCCCAGCACACTCCTAAACCTTGGCTTGCTTTGGAATGGTTCCCAATTCCCTGCAATTACTTCTGATTGCTTTACTGTCCCTAAAGGGGTAAGGACCTCCTCAGGAGCCAAGCTCTGTCTGGGTTATTCCCTGTTAGGGCCATGCAGGTAAAAGGAGGTGCTCTAACCCCAAGGCCAAGCCCCAGGGGAGCAGCATGACTTCCAGAAATAAGCTGCCTGTGTTTGTGTTTCCAGAGTGCTCCAGAGAACCTGGATAATGGCAGCCTTTAATAAGTGCCTTGTAAAGCTCTGACAATCCCTGCTAGTCCTCACCATAAAATATGCTGTACAATGCAGTAAGTGTAAAATACAATATGCCAAGGGAGAGGTTTAGATAAAAACATCCTACCACATGCCTCTTCCATGCTCTGCATTAGCTGTCTGGTGCTGGTTGAATTTAAGGGGTGCAAACTCAGCTAAGAGGAAGACAGTAATATTTTTGGCATTGACATCAAGGGGAAAAACAGGAGGTAGAAATAATTGCAGCTTTGTTTTTAAGTTAAAAATAACTCAAGTGGTTTGGAATCTACCTATCTGAAGGAACTATTTTTGACAGCAGCTATGCTTTTTCTGATTTGGGGCATGGAAAAATGGAGTGATCAAGAGTTGTACTCTCAGCACGCCTGTCTTTGCCACTTTGCTGAAAACTGGGCTGGCACCATTTCCTGGGGCCAAATCAGTTCATGGAGTAAGGACCGAGCACAGAGGAAAAGACACTGAAAAAAAAATACCCTAAAGCTGTAATTCTGGGAATTTCAAATGAAGCAACACCAAATCCTTTGTCAAATCCATTGCCAAAACTTTTAAGGGATTTTTGTAACCTCACTGACTGGTCAGCTAAGGAAGTATCCATCTGTACTGAAGCACAGAGCCCGAATCACTGAACAGGGAGTTCCCTAACAGATTAACAGCAAACCTTGGAATAGCTTTTAAGTTTATGGATCTTGAAGAGGAATGACCTGGCATGCTAACAGTTACCTGATGTGGAGTCTCCTCTCTGTAACAGTTAAACAAGGGAAACAGTCTTTGATTTTCTGCCATTGAAAGATGACTTGGACATATTTCACCGTTGTGTACAGCCCCAAGCTGTTTTGTTTCTTAGGGTCTTGTTTCTGGCCACAGTTCTACCAGAAAAACTCAGCCAAAGAGGTACACCAGACAGAAATAGCAGAAGCCATATGTGATCCCTGTTAAGAGACTTTTAGTGGCTTCACTGTGATGTTCACCTGCACAGTCACACACAGCTTTTGCCTGGGTAGAAAAAAGTAAGAAGCCCACACACTAAAAACAGTGTTATATTAAAGGCTAAAAAAAGAGTTTGCATCTGTGATACACAGAGAACAGACATTTTCTCTGTGCTGTTTGTTTGGTGTTTTCCATCCCTGAAATCTAAATTCTGAGTAACATCCTGAGCATCTGCTGCAGTAATATGTTCAGTATTTCTAGTCACAGATGCTGTGAACTGATCAACTTCAAGGAACCCTGAGCTAAGATAATTACACAACACTTATTCCAGAGGCAGCTGGAGACAGATCCATTTGCACATGCAGCAAACTGAAGGAAAAGATGACAGAAAACCCCCAAAATCTTACTTTAAGCGTTGCCAATTCCATTGGTCCATTGTTTTGGCCAACCAGGAAGAATTCCACTGTGACAGTTTTCTTCTCTGTGCGTCTGGAGGCGCTGGACCGATGTGTGAACAGGGGGAAGGCCCTGGCCAGGGCACAGGCGGAGGCGAAGACTTCAGAGCGCTCACACACCATCTGGAACAGCAGCCAGCAGCAAAATATGTCACACACCAGGTGGGGAAGGATGCACTTAAAAGGATCTGTTACTTGGGGTACTACTGGGGAAGAGGGGGGAAAAAATGAGGTGGGTGGGAAATAACTGAACCCTGAGTCAAGACAAGCTCATTCATCATGTTTTGCATGGACAGGGAGGCAGCGTGAAAGTATCACAGTGAACTGGTCCAGTTCATTTCCCATATGGAAATGAATTACACTGCTGGAATTAGTTCATCCTTATAAGGGAGCTGGACTGCTGTAATTATACCAGTGCAATTAACATAGATCAGGACTAAAAAAAGTCAAGGGAATCAGCAATATCTGCTCAAAACAAATATAACAAAGAAATTATATGAGAATGTGAAAGCAGAAATTGTATGACAATGTGGCTAATGTTAACCCAAAAGTTTGTTAACAGGTAGTTTATTTTTCTTAAGTTCATTATAGAAATTACCAATGGAAAGCAGTTTTAGTTGAACATTTTGAAAGGGTAAAAATTAGGTAGAGTTATTACTCTTACAAGTAAGTTGTCCAAGTGAAGAGTACTATTAAATTTATTCACTGACACTGACTGTATGAGTCCTCTCCAACAACCCACAAATCTGATTGGAGAACCGACAGAAACAAATAAATTCATCAGGCTCATAGAGAAGATGACCAAAGAAGTCCAAGAGCTAGTGCTGCAAAGGACTCACATTGGAGCATTATTTGCATCAAGACTTTTAAAACTCACTGAACAACACAAGCAAGGCACCACTCATGGGTTCTGTGATACAGACATAACACTCTCCACTTAGGCTACATCAGTCTCCTGAAGCATGTGCTGACATCCCAAATCCTAGCTCAGAAAAAGCCACTAATGGTTCACTTTGCATGGGCATTCCACGTTGAAGATGTTCCATAGGAATCCAGATTTAATTTCTTCCTCCTAATGTGCTTGAGCATGCACAAGCCATTACAGTCAGGTCTTGCCTACATGTCAGTGCAAAACCACTCATGTCAGTGTAATTATATCAGTCAAACTTGTCCACCTCCAGTCTCCTTGGAGACAGCTACAACCCGGAAAAGTCGAGAAACACTCGCTAGACATTTCACCAGAAGCATTTCAAGAGCCACTTACAACAATGCATCTGTTGACCCCTCCTGGCAGGCAGTTCCTGACCAGGCGGGTGATGAACTGCGCTGCGGACGGGCTGTTGTGCCGGCTGACCCTGGACGGCAGCGCGGCCACCGTGGCATAGTTCAGGTACAGGGGACAGCTGTCCGTGGGGTTGGGATTCAGAGTGCTCAGAGCAGACTGCCAGATCTGGGGAGAAACGAAGGATTTAAAGACAAAGAATTGTGCCAGACTTTCTTTCCCACCTCACTCCTGCTGTATTTAGGCAATTTTTAATGACAGGGGTTTAGGTGTTGGAAACAAAGAAATTGTGCACAAGAACCTCTGGGGTGAAAAGAAACAGGAAATTTGACAAACCTGTTCATTAACCAGAAAATAGAAATGTACTTTCCATTACAAGCATCTCCTTTAAGCCATATGAATTACAATCTAAAACCACACTGTTTAGTGCACAGGCTGGTTCAGAGCTTTCTTAACTTGAAACAGTTTTTCTAGTGATAAATAGAAGGACTGATTTACTAGCTCCGAATTATTATTTCACATAGTAATTTAATTAAAAACAAATAAAACCAAGAAGGGTAAATATTGTCTTAAGAGACTGGGGAGCCCCGTATAACAACCCCTGCCAAATATCTAGCGACCTAAAAAGCCGCAATGCAAAACGTTTATCATTCTACCACAAGCCATCACCACCACTAAACAAACAGGTCCGCAGCTCCCACCGCAGTGGCTGCGGGCGGGGAGGGGGCTCTCAGCGCTCACTGCAGCCGCCCCCCGTCCCCTCAGCGAGGGCAAAGCGCCTTTCCCCCGCCGGGGTGGGCACAGGGGCTGCGGGAGCGGCTGCCCGGGCGGCCCCGCCGCAGCAACAGGCTCGGCCCGGCCCNAGCTCCGGGCACGGCCAGGGCAGAGCCGGGCACGGCCGGGGCAGAGCCGGGCACAGCGCTGAGCCAACAGGGCTTTCCCAGTGCTGCTTTCATAGTGCACTTGCATGGTGGGCTGAAATAGAATAAGCTGTTTATTCTGATCATTTTGTAGTTGCCAAGCGGCTCCTGTTAATGTTTGGTGAGCGGACAATTATCAGAATGTGGTGATTTGGAAGGACCCCACAGATATGACCGAGTCCAACTCCTGCCCTGCACAGACACCCCGACAATGCCAGCCCGTCCCTGGGAGCGCTGTCCCAACGCTCCTGCAGCTCAGACAGGTTTGGTGCTGTGGCCATCTGTGCAATCTTCCACCTACGCGGGAAGAGTGAATTCTCATGCATATAATGGAAATACACCTAAGAAGAAAAACAAAAAAAAAAAAAACCCAAACCCCAGGCTGAATTCCAGAAAAAAACACTTCCTTAGAGTAACGTGTTTGAAGGGACATCACAGAAACTTTATTGAAAGTAGAAGTTGTAGGAACATCTGTTGCAGAGGTCAGTCGTGCATCCTCACAGATGGGACGGTAACTCAATATACAGGCTCCAACTTTAACGAGTCTCTTTACTGAGCCACAGAAAATACTGCTCAGGGGTCCACTGTTATCCCAATACATAAGAGCAGCGTGGGAGTGAGAGGACACACAGCAATTACTTCAGGATTGAGACATTCCAAAGATTCCTCCAGGCAGTAAGCTCCCAATCATTGAGTTCAAAATCTGCTGTTCCTGCTGCTCGAAGCGTCCAAAACCAGCACATTCCCTGAATCCACAGCATCTGAAAAGCAAATAAAACAGCAGGAAACACTCACCTAACCCACAATCCTTTTGTTGCAGTTAAGGGCAGCAGAGGAGGGTCCGTGTGAAGGGAATGGACTGAGGAAATCAATTTTATCTACAGAAACTCCCTGTGAACATCCCACCACCAGCAACTGCAAACATCTCTATTTGTCTGAGCTCCACCAGACACTGCAGCAAGGACCCATCTTCCAGTTATTGATCCTCTACAAGTATCCACGGAATTAAGCCAGTAAAATATGATCTTACACAATCCACCATAATTAATATGCAAAATTATAATGAATTCACTGTTTTAATGAGTTTTGTTTAAGGCGGTTGTTTGGTTTGGGTTTTTTTAAATAGTAGCACATTTTTTTCCAACAAAATCAGTTTCACTGTCACCTATCCAAGAATTTAAAGTTTGCAGGTTTCCAAACACTTAAACAAAGGAGTTAAGACTCTTTTGTGCTGTTCATGAAAGCAAACCTTAAATCAATGCAATCTAGGCAGTGAACACAGCATTAAGTATAGATATGCCAATTTTTAGCACATTCCAAAAATCAGAAAGCAAAAAAACAATTCTTCCACATTACTTTTCAGTTTCTAGAGAAAACTTTCAGTAAAAATAGTGTTATTACAGTGCTTTTAATCCTGTCCTTTCAGCATATAATTAATTTCTGTTAATAAGTTGCAGCTCATTTTTTGCATGCTCCCATGCATTTTAGTGGAGAAACTGTGAACAAGCCAACAGCTTTACAGGCCACTCCCACCAGGTGAGGAGACACAAACCCTTGGGAGATGCTTTAGCAATGCCATTCTAAAGCAATGTTCTGCTCTTTAGCAAGGAATTTGAGCTTCCATACAGGCTGAGAAGAATCCAGCATCCACAAAGAAGCCCCAGGATGAGAAGGTCCCAGCTTTGCCTGCAGCAGCACACAGAGATTTCCAGGGCTGGGCAGAAGCGAAGGCAGGAGGCTCTGGCAGCTCCTGGAATACCTGAGGAGGCAGCAGCTGCTGTGGCTTTTCTGGGCTTTCATTGCCCAAAGGCACAGACAGACCCCCTTTTGTGGGGATACTCCCACAAAGCACAGCATCAGGTTTGATTGAACTGCTCATATTATTCAGACTGACTCAAAATAAGCCACACACCAGCAATGATTTAGAATCCAGCCTGTCCTGAGCTTTCTTCATCAATAGAATCAAGCTTCAATAAATTCCAGCTCAAGTCACATATGACACTTGACATCTGAGTTTAACCTTATTAAAAATGCATTCCCTTGTACAGAATTTGGGTAGAAAAAAGGCAGACAGTGGGCAGTTATGGGAAATATCTCTTGACAATGCAAAATACATTGTGCTACAGAAAGTTACTTTTTAAAAAAAAGGTATTTCATGCCACTGCCACTTTCATTTATTACTAAGAACAGAAACGTGTTAACATCACAGAAGTATGTTTCAGTTTATAATTTCAATAAGAAAAAAGAGTAATTGTCCAATTAGGTTGGATGTGTTTTATTACTTCTTTGAAACCATCTGCCATGATAAAATGTCAAAAGCACCTGTCAAGACAGAAATAAATAACACGATCTCATGTTAAAGAGAAAGTTGCAAGTACAGTATATTAAATTATAGCAATTTGCTGCTTCACACCCAGTGATGCAGACAGCACGAGGGAGACAGTAGTTTTACTCACGATCATTGAAAGATCTATCACCAGAACAGGGGAGCTGCACACACAACACAAGCCTCATTCTTCCTTTCACCAATTTACTTCATGAATTCAATGAAGAGTTTGAACTGGCAGTTTTGGTGGTTCAACATCCCCTTTCTCTAGAGGTAACAAGAGTGGTACAAAGCTTTTCGTAAGCCCCACAAAAAGCCAAGGCTTTCATGTTTTTGCAGTCTTTGCTTTCAGGTCCATCCCTGAAAATGGTCAGTTTAAAGCCACATCTCAAGTCCTCTTTAGCACAGAGTCAAGAAATTCGGGGCAGGTGACAGATGCAACTTCAATATCATAGTGTTTTGAAACTGCACTTCTGGAGCTTGGAGCAGAACATCTCTGCAGGTCTATGGGGAGCACTTGTATCAGTCAAAAAATGAAGGAAGTTACAGTCCCTTTGGGAAAAAAAAAAAACCCCAAACATATAAAAAAATCAGTATTAAAAACATTAAGACAAGGCCTCTACAATTGCACACCACTTCAGGCCTGAATTAAATTAAAAGTATTCTATTACTTTTATGTTGCCTTAATTTCTGTTGTACGGCCTGCAGCAAAGTTTTCCACTGAAAAGAGCAGTGAAACACTGAAAAGAGCAGTGAAAACCCCAAATTCTCCACTGAAGGCCTTGTAAAATGTCACTTGCATGACATCTCTCATGGTCAGTGAAAGACCACGAACACGTCCTCTCCCCAGGCTGACATTTGAAAGAGAATTTTCTGTCAGGGAAAATGGATATAATATTTACTGTAGTGAAGCCACTTCTTATACAAAAAACATAACCCATATGGACAAATGCATTGTAAAATAAACAACTTTTACAGCAGCTACAGTTTGAAACATCTAAGACCCACTGCAGCAGGCCAGAGAGATTCTCTTTTTCAGTTTCTGTTCCATTTTTTTCAGGTTAACTCCACTGCTTTAATGTAATGTCTGTACTTTAAACTATGATTCTTAGTAATGGTGCAGTATCTAAATTAAGATCACAGGGGTTGGATTACGTTCTGGTTGCTAAAAGCTTTCCTTTTTAGCTGTCTATCCAGTTCTTTGGAGTTTTTGAGTCTGGAAGAAAGGGCATTCAATCAAACAATTTTGCATCTCAACAAATTTTACATCAAGATCAATTTTTGATATCCAGTCATTGACTCAGTAACATGGTTTAAATTTGAAGCCTATAACAATTATGACATAAGAATATAGAAGACAACACATTTTGTTAACAGTAACACACTAATTACTGTAGTCACTGGTAAACTTCAATTTTTAATTATTCTTAAATACTGTGTTTCAAAATAACTCTGCATAGAACGCCAATTTTTTTTGTGTGTGGGAGCATCAAATTTCCTGACATTTTCCATATAATCCTTACAAACACCTCACAGATCACCAAACTTGTACTTTGAAGAATTCTACGGAAACATTGCACAGACGTTGCACCACAAGGGCTCGTACATTCAAAGGCAGCTTTCTGGAGTGCAGGTCCATCCATTCACATTGGGAAAAAAGTTCACAGAAACTCCAAAAATGAGAAAATGAAGCGAAACCTAGTGTAACTTTACACCAATAAGAACAACAATAAGGACAATTACTATAACAAACAAAATTAAAATAACGAGCATCTTCCGATTCTTCTTTTGATATTGCTCTGCCTATAAAAAGAGAGAGGAAAGAGTTAATAATCAGATTTCTGCAAGGCTGAAGTACAGACTCTTCTTTAGTGTAAGTGAAGTCCATGTATTTCAAACTGCTCTTTGGTAACCTGACATCTCATACAATGTATATTGCAGGCAATTCCCACACAGTTCCCACACAATTCCCAGCTCTGATCTACACCAGAAGCTCCAGGGACAGTAAATGTGCACTGAAGTCACAACCACCCATGTTAAAGACTCAGTTTGCTAAGATAAGATTCCTGTATCATATTTGAAGGACATTAAAATTCACGACAAACTTCCTTTCTTAATAGGCACATTTGTTGTACCTGGTCAGCTGTGCATTTTCATTTAATTTCAATTAGAACTGAAAGCTTTATTTTTGAGTTGGTTCTCAAGTTTTCTGCTTCATTCCTTCTTTCTTCTAACTATATTTTCTCATCCCTCTCCTCCTTTTCCCAGGGGAATTAATAGCACACAACACAGAGAAAACTCTCCAAAAGCCAAATGAAAGTCTACTAATAGAAGCTAAACAAAACAAAGCTTGCATTTTGTTTTTAATTAATAAGCCTTCAAAATAAAACCAAAACAAAATGACCACAAAACTCTGATCGGCTGAGATCATTGTTTTTACAACTTTTCAGGTGTTCATAGCAAAAGCTTCACATTAAAGCAAGAGGTTGGACCTGACATCTAACAAATGTCAGATAGTAAGGGAAAACATTAATAATTATTCTTTCTGCTCACATAATTGAGATAATGTTTTCAAACTAAAATCTGCAGTGAGGTACCCAATAACCAGCCCTATTCCCAAGTGCCTGGCTTTTCAAACAGAGAAGGAATTGCAGACAGGTCCCACCAGGTCAGCAGTATAAATATCAAAGCACATTGGTTGGATGCCCAGAAAGTCATTTAAGAAATTAACTCGAGGCATCAAGCATGACATTAACAGAAGTTATATGAAGAGCTCCTCCTACAGTACAGCCAGACATTTCATACTGTACAGAAGGAATTTCTAAAAGGGGTAATGTCCAATTGAAAACTGACTGAATAACTTAATAGCTATTTAATTATAAAAGCTTATTAGATATGCAAAATGGATTAAGTGTTCCATCAGCTTACCTTATGCAGTTGTTTTAGGCCCTCTTCAGTTTTCATACATGACTGTTCAATATTATAGTCAATTCTATCTAGAACTGTTCCCTAAATAAAATGGAGAAAACAAGCACCAAATTGAACCTAAATGAACCTCATAAAGAAAATGTTATCATAAGCAGCAGAGTAATTAACTGCACTCAGCAAACAGCTCATGAACTATGTAAACAATGAACTCTTACAGAATTTGGGACTTTATTAAACAAGCTGGGACTTTATTAAACAACTTCTTTGCTCAGCTCCTAATAGCAGCTCTGTCACTATCTCACATCACATCCCTAAAAATAATCTTGATTCCAGACCAGGTGCTTTTGGCTGACACATTTACCATAAACTGAATCTCTGGGAGAAATAACCAAGAGAACTTTGGCTTTCTACGCTATTTTTTTTTCTTTAAAGTCCAACACACATTACCAGTTGAATTATTATTCACTTATTTTCATTAACTCAACCTGTGGCATATTTCAAGCAGAGGAAACCTGAGCATGAAGAAGTAAATTAAGAAAAGCGAGTCTGGAAGCCTTCACACTACATGGAATGTCCCATTTCTTACTAACTCTGCACTGTCAATGTACCTGTTCTACTATCATTGCTCCCAGGTCCCTAAATATTTCATTGAGATCGGAGATTGACTGCACAATCTGACGGATTTCTCGTTCCCTTTCTTCCACCATCAGTGTGTTTTGCTCCACCAATGCCAGCTGGTCATCTGTAAAACCCTGTTGAAATACAAGATTTACACATTAAACTTAATAGTATGAAAATATTAGAAATAATTACAAGGATAACAAGATTTCATAACTCAGATATTTATAATCTGAGAAGAGAAAATGCAACTCATATTGAATTCGTGCAATATTATTTTAACTTACTCTATCATAAAGGGTATCATCCTCTCCATCATCCATCAGTGGGACTGAGGTGTCAAAGAAGTGTTTGGACCTTTCTTCTCTATTCTTCATACCTGTAAAAGACAAACCATGTTCAACCATGATATTTAAGCCCACTATAATCAGGGTAAGGTCTGAAGCACCAGACAGAAAAGCACCAAAAAAAAAATAACAACTGGGTAGCAAATGACATAAACCACAATATTTAAATTTTAACTATCAGGCTCACTATTTAACAAAAGCATAAAAAATTCAACCAGACTTGCAAGACTGATTGAATCAGTGATTTTTAAGTTGTTATGTTTCATGAAGTTAAGAAATTTAGGAAAGTTAAGAGCCTTGAAGTGTGAACACTCCAGGCTATTTTCTAACAAATTCTCTTAGGAACACTCCTGAACGGTGATCTTCAGTTCCACCTGTGACATTTATACCACAGGAGGAAGAAATATCAACTTTAAATTTGAAAATAAAGTTTTTGTGCATTTCTTTCAAGATTAAAATAATCTGACTCAGCTTAGAACAGAACCAAACAAAATCTTACTTTTAAAAAGAAATGGTTCCACTTCCAATCTGTTTATGGTTGCAGAATTTTAGTTTATCACAGACTAGCTCTTAAGCTTTATCTATCCCAGCCTGCCATCTGCAGCAGGTCTCATGGCTGAAGACCAGTGGCTGCTTCACCAGAGTAACAGATGCAACTTTGCAAACCAAAATTTGAGAAGCAATATGCATAAAAAATGTGGATGAGTGAAATACCGTTTCATTGATACACTCAACTATGACACTTCTTTATCAACAAGAAAAACAAATAGAACAAAGCAGTTTGAACATGGGCTGTGAACCAGGAACTGTCCAGTTCTAACCTCTAATTAGTCCTGTGTGCATCACTTAACCCTTCTGTGCTTCAGTTTTCCTGACCATGAAAATAAGCACACCTCAGCGAGTGCTTTCCACAGAAGGGAACCATGCATTACTGTTACATCTCTTATGCTTACGTTTGAGATAGTCAGACTGTGCATGCCTAAAGTTGGTGGAGAGGTCCTGAAGGGACTGTGCTAAGGAAGACACTACATTCCTGAGAACACGTGCTTCTTGTTCTGTACAAGTACGTGACCTGCTCTGCAACACCTGGACTGCTCTCTGACATCTGTGGAATAACTGAGAAAACAATTCCATTAGTGGAAAAACGTACAGCAGCACACACCTTAAACAGCACATGGCAAAAGTGCCACACTGAAGACTATATTTTGATTTCTACATTTTTTAAAGTAATTTTTAAATTTTTCTCAGAATAGACATCTGCAGATTCAGATTTCTCTGAGATAACTGTAAATTTGATTTGATTAATCTCACAATCCTGTTCCAAGCAGAAAATCAAACAGGTAAGGGAAACAAGAGCGAAGTTTAAGTGACTCATTGGGAAGTTCAGAGCAGAGCCCAGGACTTCTGGCTCACTCCAGCACTGACCACAAAATAAATCCTTTGCTCAGAGCAAGCCACTGCCTCATCCTAATGCATTAAAAATGTGCTAGACTGGAGGTTTAGGACCCAAAGCACTCTGTACCTGTGTGATCTCCTGGGTTGTTATTTCTATTGCCCGTTCCTCTTCACTGCTGTCATCCAGTGTGGGTCTGTTCAGATGTTTATCATGAAGACTGGCTAATTCTTTCATCTTCTGTTTAACCCTGGCAATATCATACTGAATCTAAAACAGAAAGCCCAACAGGAAGAAAGGGAATTAAATTCATGCTTCAGGGAAAAATGTTCTGACAAATGTTAGACAGAAATCACTGAGAGAAATCTGTAACATAAAAGGCAGACCAAATATTATTAAAAGCCACATAAAAAGCTGACTAAGAAACTGAATACTCTTAATATAAGACTTTGAGTTTGCTACTTTTTTAAACCTGCTCATTAATCTTAGACAAGACTGCTGCTTTCAAATATGCTTCATTAAATTGGAATAATATTTTTATAATTATACAGCATCACAGCAAGAAGATTTAGCCAACTTCCAAAAAAATAAATGAAAACTCAGGTCACACCTTCAACTGTCAGAATGCCATGCTTTCAACCAAGTAATTAAAAAATAAATCTGTAAGGATGAGTATGATAGCAGTAAAAAGGAGAGCATCTTTCTGCACAATGGGCTCTGTCCACATAAACTGATGAGCCAACGTGTTCTGAATGTACATTTAAGAAAAAAAGTTTTCTGAAAGTCAAGAATAGCTTCACACTCCAAATACTGGTAAAGGTTTTTAATTGGATGCTTCCAGAATCATTCCCTTGTGTTTGTCCAAATATTTCCATAACTTGCAAGGCATCCAGATGGCAGAGGTAGGAACGTTCTCCTTCTAGAAGACACTAATGTTTCCTGTTTTCAAACACTGAACTGCTCATCCTCACCATTTTAGGGTTTATTCAACTGGACTCCTCACCAGCTTCAAATAAAATTCTTACTAAAAATTACTTAGAATTCGAACTAGAATTCTTATTGGAATCTTTCTTCAAATACTATTTCTGCTACAAAACTGAGAGAATGTGAGTGACAACAGTAACAAATCCCTCCATGGGAAGGAGCTGTGTGCTGGATGTGCCAGAGCAGAGCACTCACTTCATCTGCCCCATCGACCCATTTGGGAGGCAACCGCTTGGTCACTCCGATGGCTGCCTCGGGATCCAGGCTTATCCCCGACACCAGGGCCATGCGATCATCAGCCAGCTGCAGAGGGGAAAAAAACAGCAAATCAGCTTGATTCTAATTAGATCCACATCCCTGAGCATCAGAAAAAGTGCATGTATGCCTTCCCATAGAAATTAACCTCAGAGATGTGTTTGCTCGTGATCAAACATCTCGTCTCCTGGTTTGGCCCTCTGGGTTAAGCACCTACACCCTCCCACTTCCTGCAGCATCTGAAAGCTCAGAGTTACTCTTAGAATAAATTCTTAGCAAATTTTCCAGGAGGAAAGATGGTATTGCTGTGAGAATTCAAGTAACTCTTGTGTTGGTACATTTCTATCAGACAACAATTCACAGCCAATGTTGCAGCACAGTTCATATTGGGTCTGGCAAGTTTGAAAACTGCATTTGGGAAAATCTCAGAAAAAACATTTATTATAACTGCTTGTTCTCAAACAATGTTATTTTGAAGAACAAACATTTTTGCAAAGTGACATGTAAGTCAAGTGGTTAAATTACTTAGTTAGGGATAATTAAATTGTGCTAAACACAAATAGCGAAGGCAGTACTAGAGATGATCATTAATGATACCACTTACAACATTAACTAATTACTTGGGAAAGCTTTCATACAAACACTTCCCTTCCTAGCTTCTTCCAAATTTGCAATTTTTCTTTATCAGGCCTGGAAAGTTTTGTGGTTCCCTACCCCATCCCTTTTTAAAAAACAATCCCCCATCCTTCCTGAGTGACTCTTTCTTGAAAGCAATTTCTGTATCCCTTATTTTATTTCCTGATCAATAAAGTTTGCATAATTTATACACAGCATGAAGAATAGTTAATGGCTTCACTGTGCAAAGTCACTCTACCCCACGTATGCACAATGAGTCAGACTGGTTCATACATTTATCTATTCACAATATAAAATCATAAAATGCTTGATTTCTCTATGCAGCCTAACCTACTGTGCAAAGACACTTCATCCTATACAATGAAATTTTATAAGCTAGTAGAATAAAGGAAGAATATTTTAGCTCAGTGACGTAGACTTGATGCAGCATGGTAGAATAAAATGTGAAAAACAATACCTCATCCAGCTCCTGAAGTGATTTGTGGATCCCATCAGCCCCATCCAGTTAGAGACAGCAAAAGATAAAAGGGAAAAAAGAGACATAGGACAGATATAGGGCATGGTCAGTTGAGAAAATACTGATTTATTTTTAAAGCATGATAGTTTACCAAGAACAAACAAATTGGCTTTTAAGACATGGTTAATCAATAAATACATCATGATATAGCATTTTAAGTCAGCATTTTGCCTAATGCACCAACTTTTAAAAGAAATATTTCAGTTCCTTGGTAAACAGCAAGAACATAAGAGATCAAGTGCAGAGCTTGGTTTGTTTTACAAAGTAATTGCATGGTGAAGTTTCTAAATACTGAAATGTCAGGCAGAAAAGCTGCAGTAGAATACAGTGAAGAATGACAGCAAGGGCAGTTTGACTGCAGCACTCAGCATCCACTGGGGTTGACTATGATTGGAGGGGGTATAGAGAAGCTTTTGTAGGACAAGCACCCCAGATCTTACAGCATCCAACAGACAGCAAAAGACAAAATGCAAAAGCAAATGTTCAGTCACTTCTGTACACACTTGAGCTGTGCTCTGCTTCCAGAGAACATCAACCCTGCAGGGATCTAAAAAAATACACAAGGACATGAATTTGCACCTTCCCTGTTCATCAGTCCTTGCACTGGGGAGGGGATGTGTGAGCAAAAGGATATTTCACTCTAAGATTAACAAAGTCCGACTTAAAATTGGACAAAATCCTTGTGGTTTAACAAAGCAGCATCAGCTGATGACCTCTTATGAGATTCCCCAAGCTTTTGGAACAGGACTCTACTGTAAAGATGCTGCTTTGATTGTCTGACTTTAGGAAGGCAACTCTTGACAGGGAGTTCTCACAGCAAAGGATTTCTCGAGGAGAAAGCTGGAGATGAACTAAGGGAAGCCAAAGTACTGCGGGCTGGAATTTGCCACCCTGCCCTACTGGCACACAGCAGCTCTGCCTGGGGGCACCACCCAGAGGGAAATCTGCAGCTCTGACAGCAACAGACACCTAAAGCCATGAGAGGCAGACAGCTCACACTGAAACTTCACACTTCTTGCTGAAACAGCTCACTTGTAGAGACTCTGGGACTCTGAGATTCCCACCAGGGCCAAAAATGACTCCTCTCACCCACTGCACAGATGGACAATTTCCAGTCACTGAGAGCCTCCATTGCATCTGAGTGAGCAGCCCAGCAAAACCCTTCAATTAATGTTAACAAACACTGCAAATAAATATTTGATGCAGACGCTAAATGTTATTGCATTGGCTGCTGAGTAAAGTGCAGATTCATTGCTCAGCAGTACTGAGTTCAAAACATCATTACCTTTTCTAGATGATATTTAAAAAACCCCAAGGATCTACAGAAGTGACATAAAAAAAATGAACAAGAGCATGTATGCCATAAATGCAGAGCCAAAGTACACATGTAAAATACAAATTACTATTGACATTTCCTGTTCTGCAAATGCAATTTAATACACAGCTTATTAGGCACAAGTGTAATAAAGTTAGCAATGAACAAAGACCATTGACAGCAACAGGAAGCACTGCTTTTCCTAACAAAAATGCATTAATGTAAAGCTATTTAGAGTTATGAGACTACCAGCAAATATTTACTGGTGGCTATGACAAATAAATTATGAGTTTAAACAGAAAGTGTGAAAACCTGAGCAGAGCTGAGCTGCCAAGCAGCACATCACAGCCTGACTAGCTCAAAACCTAGAAAAAGTTACAGAAATTGCCTCTGAACCAGTATTTTTTGGTAGTTTCTGTGGAGCTATACTAGAATCTAACTCTCTCTCACAGATGTGTTTGAGTATTATTTATATTTAGGGATAAATAAAAAGTGCAATGAACATCAGAGCAAGTTATGGAGAAACTGAATCAATGGGAATAAACTATACCAGTGTAATTAACAGTTCCCACAGTGAGGTGAATAGAAGAGTTCTGCTTCATGAATTTATTTCATTTTGGAGGTAAGGAGGCATCAAAAACCTCCTGCCAATGCTAGCACGAAGCTGTTAGAACAGTAACTGATTTATTATGCCCAAAGCGAACAGAGATGCGAGCAGCACACACAGATCTCTTCTATTCCTTTAACGTGAAGGAGTGGGAAAAGAGGAATCAACAGGGTGGGGAAGGAGGGGCAGAAGGAGGAAGGGAGGGGGAG